CATTTCCAAAAGCTTTTCATTACCGCAAACAAGAACTCAGGACTCCGTACACGATAGCATATATCCCTTTCCCTAACCCCTGGTAACCAACAATTACCAATCATCTACCAAATTTTGATGATGTCTCTGAAGCAAAACTTGCTAAAAATCAAAAGTTTGCAACATTGAAAACAATGAACTAGTTAGTTGAACAAAACTTACTTATACATTAGTATGTAAGCTCCAACATCCTGTCTTCCAGATATCTTTGCCAACCAGTCTCTATAGTCAGTCACTGGTGCTTTTGGACCACTAAACAGGGCATAAGAAATGACAATTAAGAAGATAAAATTTCAGAGGTAAAAATAACCAAGAATTTCATATATATTATGTGAATTCACTGAAAACTAACAAAGAATCAGGTGAAAATTGGTTTTTAATGTGTTATTCAGAGTACGGGTAGCATAGCAGGTTATGTGTTAGGCTGCTAAGTGTTAAGTACAGCAGTGTGGATAGGCCAAATGCTTTGATGCGACAAAGATGAGAATTTCTGCTCCTGTAAAGATTTACAAGCCTCAGCATCACTACACAGGGTCATTATAAGTCAAACGGACTCAATAGCAGATAATAACCACCACCACCAGTGACTAGTGGGAGTCCTGGTGAGACTGTAGGATAAATACTGCATTGAATATTTTAAGGTCAGTGGCCCAAACCACCAGTTATTCCTCAGGAACCTTATACAGTTGGAACTGACTCAATACCCCTTTAACAACACTGGTTCTGTGGGACGAAAACGAGGCTTTCTTCTCTCGTAAAGATTTACAGCCTCAGAAACCCTGTGCAGGTCGCTATATGAGTTGGAACCAACTCCACGTCATATAACCACCACCACCAATGGCTAATAAACACACACAAAAAAATGACCTGGTTTGTTGGTCAGCAAGTGACTGGAGGAAACTGAGACTACAGTCCTCGACCAACCTTCAGGTCTGGAAAGAAACTCCCCCTTGTGGCCCAAGTTTTAGTTAAAAAAAAAAAAAAAAATTATGAATAATTTGAGTTTTTTTGAAAATAACTCAAAATATGATGGATAAAGTAGGATTGAAACCTATAACAAAAATATGTTTCTGATTATTTTTTAAAAGATAATATGACTTGATCATTCTATTTATTTTATTGTTGTTGAGAACATACACAAGAAAGCATCCACCAATTCTCCAGTTTCTACCTGTACAATTAAATAATACTGATTCCATTCCTTGTGCAACCATTCTCACTCTTCTTTTCTGAGTTTTCCTCCCCCATTAACATAAATTCACTATTCCCAAAGATTCCTATCTAATCTGTCAAGTTGCTATTGTCTGTTACTAAGGAGCTCTGGTAGCGTAGTGGTTACGAATCGGGCTGCGAACCGTAAGGTCAGCGGTTCAAAACTACCAGCTGCTCCGCGGGAGAAAGATGAGGCTTTCTACTCCCGTAAAGATTTACACCCTCGGAAACCCTGTACAGGGTCGCTATGGGTCGGAACCGACTCGATGGCACTTAACAACAACAACATTGTCTGTTTGATCCCATATAAATAGTCTCAGGGCAGACATTCTTTACTAGTTAAGCTAAACTGTTGTTTGGTTTTAAGATGACTTCAGGGAATATTTTTGGTTTAAGATTTAAAGATTATCTCAAGGCAAATCTTTCAAATGAATAATTCTATTTTTTTTTTTTAATTGTTGCTATCCATATTTGTTCATATTATGTTAGTGGTAAAGTTGTTAGTGGTAGAGTGGTATGCTAGTGGTCAAGCTGAAATTAGAAATAAATGATCTTAACTCAATCCAACATCTTTTATCTATTCTGATTGCTGATGTCATTATCCTAGACCTTTGCTGTTGTTAGGTGCCATCGAGTCGGCACCGACTCATAGCGACCTTATGCACATTAGAACGAAACAATGTCTGAACCTGGGCCAACCTCACTACTGTTGTCACACTTGAGTCCATTGATGCTGCCACCTGGTCAATCCATCTCGTTGGGGGGTCTTCCTCTTTTTCTCTGACCCTCCATCTTACCGAGCATGATATCCTTCTCTAGCGACTGTTCCCTCCTGACAATATGTCTAAAATATGAGAGATGAAGTTTGGCCACCTTGGCCTCCAAGGAGCACTCTAGCTGCACTTATTCCAAAACAGATCTATTGGTTCTTTTGGCAGTCCATGGCACTTTTAGTATTGTGCTCCAACACCACAACTCAAAGGCATCAATTCTTCTCCGATCTTCCTTATTCACTGTCCAGCTTTCGCATCCATATGAGGTTATTGAAAATACCATGGCTTGGGTCAGGTGCACCTTAGTTCTCAAGCTGATACCTTTGCTCTTCAACACTTTAAAAAGTTCCTGTGCAGCAGATTTGCCTAATGCAATACGTCGTCTGATCTCTTGACTGCTGCTTACGTGAGTGTTAATAGTTGATCCAAGAAGAATGAAGTCCTTGACAACTTCAATCTTTTCTCCATTGAAAAGAATGTTGTTTATTGGTCCAGTGGTGAGGATTTTTGTTTTCTTGACATTGAGATGTAATCCATAGCGAAGGCTGTGCTCTTTGATCTTCATCAGTAAATGTTTTAAGTCCTCTTCACTTTCAGCAAGCAAGGTTGTATCATCTGCATATCGTGGGTTGTTAATGAGTCTTCCTCCAATCCTGATGCCACGTTTTTCTTCGTAGAACCAAGCTTCTGGGATTATTTGTTCAGCATACAGGTTGAATAAAGTATGCTGAAAGAATACAACCTTTTCGCACACCTTTCTTTTAAAACATTCGTGTTCCTTATGTTCTGATCAAACAACTGCTTCTTGGTCCAGGTACAGATTCCTCATGAGTACAATTACGTGTTCTGGAATACTCATACTTCGCAATGTTGTCCATTGCTTGTCATGATCCACACAATCGAAAGCCTTTGTGTAGTCAATAAAGCACAGGTAAACATCTTTCTGATATTCTCTGCTTTCAGCCAAGATCCATCGGCCATCAGCAATGATATCTCTCGTTCCATGGCCTAGACTTAGAATCACAGAAAACTTGGGCGTCCTGGTGCTACATTTAAGTATAAAACAGTGTATATATTGCTGCTGTTGTTAAGTGCCTTCAAGTCGGTTCTGAACCATAGTGACCCTGTATAGGGTTTCCAAGGAGCAGTTGGTGAGCTTGAACTGCTGACCTTGTGGTTCAAACTGACCTTACAGTGTAGCGTATTAACCGGCAGCACCACACCAGGATGACTTATTACATCAAAATAAAATCTAGATGGTTCAAAGATTTAAAAATTAAAACAGAAACTGTCCCAATACTGAAAGGATGTCAAGCAGCGCAGTGTTGTTGCTGTTGTTAGTTACTGCTGAGTCGATTCCAACGCATGGGGACTCTATGTGTTACACAGCAAAACTGCTCTATAAATACTTCTATTGTTTTCACTTCTCTGTCCTTATTTATAATCTCTGCTGCTAGCATTATCTGTTGTTGTTAAGGGCCATTGAATCACTTCTGATTCACAGTGATCCTGTATGGGGTTTCTGACTAGCAGCGGGTGGGTTTGAACCACTGACCTTGTGGTTAGCCGTCCAGTGCTTATCCTACAGTATCACACAGGACTCCATCATCTAATACTAACATCTCATCTCAAACAAAGGTATACTTGTTACTGTTACTAAGTGCTGTCGAGTCAGGATCCAACTCATAGCGACACTGTACAGGGTTTCCAAGGAGCAGCTGGTGAGCTGGTGAGCTAGAACAAAGGTATAAATACTAGTAAATCTTCATCTGTAAGTACTTTCAGTAGTTTCCACTACTTTTAGTTACTCATTCATTCAGGGTAGATTAGAAGGAATCTTAAAATGCTGCTGGGACTATTAGGTGAAGAAACCAAGACATATCGATTGTAACAGGAAGGAGACTGGCATGGGTAGAAGCAGACTGGATGTAGGAGAAGGGGCAGTTAGACTTCAGATTACCTCTGATAAGCTGCTTTCTCCTCTGGTGACATGTTATTCAAAAGAAGGTCCTTTAAGGTAAAAGTATTTTCAATCCATTCAATTAATCCTAATCTGAAAAGAAGAATGAAAAGATTATGAATAGACACAAATCCAACTGCTGTCTCTTCTCTAGAAAAAAGTTTCTGTAGGAAAGCGAAATAATTTCACATGTCAGTGTTATACATTAAGACAGAAGTCACAGGCATAGTGTTTGGTGTTAAGTAGTTCTATTTTGATCCTATTCTTTGTGCAATCAAAAGCTCTGAACTGCCAAGCAACCTCCAATCCCATTTTAGGAATATAAAGCAAAGATTTAGTGCTGGAATTCCCACAGACATATGGGATCACTACCTGGTGGTCATGGGTATGACCTGGTAAGTTTTTAACTGCATGTTTCTCTGACTACAGGCAGCATCGCGGGAAAGAATGACATTCATGACTTCAAAAAGCTGCTCAATGCGCTGATCCTGTCGCAGATCTTCCCCTCCCTTCACGAGGAAAGGGTACTCTCTCTCATCATGCCCTCGGATGATGATGCGCTTAGGTTTTCTGATAGATGCCATTACTTTTACCTTTAAAAATGAAGAAAATATGTTAGGTGTATTTTGAAAATGTGAGAGAAGAGCCCAACACAATGTTATCAAAAGAGAAATAGGCATGTTGGCATGCATTCTTTAAAGAGAGTTTTGACCTCTCCTTGAAGACAGAGTTAGGTGACAGAAACAGAAGTTATTTATTTGATGAGAACAGAGAATTAAGTACTGACAGATTGTCTGGGGCCAGTAAAATATTCTGTTATCTCTTCATTCCTTACTGCTGTGTCCACAGAAATTTCATATTCATTCATGATTACAAATAATTACTTATAAATCTAGTTATTCTTAGTAACGATCAGTATGACACTTTTTACACTAGGTTAATGTAATTCTACGTGTATTTTACAACAAATGTGTATACACACACATATACATCTTATCTTGGAGTTAACTGTAACCTTAAGTATGACTGCTGTTGAAACATGGGAAACATATAAAGAAATTCAGTGTGTAATAGAGTCAGAAGACTCTTTTGTGTAAAACACCAACATGGGAGTTGTTTTTCTTTAGTAAATATATCACTCTAATATCTGAAGAACTGACCATTATACACTCAGAATCCTAATGAGGAAAATTATAGTGACGAATTGAAAATGCACATACTTACCCGTTCATCAAATCCAGTGATTCGTGCATGGTATTCAGGCAATGGCTTTCCTTTGCCATCATACTGACCTAAAACAAACCAAAGAAGTCTTAGATATAGCCTGTTATGTTGTTAAGTGCTGTCAAGTCAGTTCCAACTCATAGCAACTCTATATACAGTTTCCGAGGAGTGGCTGGTGAGTTTGAACTGCTGACCCTGTGGTACAGTGCTTATCCTATTGGGCCACACTAAAATCCCTGTATTCTAAAACATAATATGTTAATTTAATTAAAAACAACAACAGCAATCTAGCATGTTATATTATTTGAGTAGAAATTTTCATTTAAAGAAAATGGATGCATGCAGCTATTCAATAGAATTATTTATCAATTTCACTGGTTAATGGAAGTTTGCTTCCTCTTCCATTGTAGTTAGGTGCCAGTGAGTTGGTTCCGATTCATAGTAACACTATGCACAACAGAAGGACACACTGTCTGGATCCCGCACCATCTTCACAATTGTTGTCTTTGAGCCCATTGTTGCTGCCACTGTGTCAATCCATTTCATTGGGAGTCTTCCTATATTTCTCTGACCCTCCACTTTATCAAACATGATCTCCTCCTCCAAGGACTGGTCCCTCCTGACAACATGTCTAAATTACGAGAGACGAAGTCTCACCATTCTTGTTTCTAAGGAATGTTCTGGCTGTACTTCTAAGGCAGATTTGTTTATTCTTCTGACAGCAATGGTACTTTTAATATTCTTCACCAATACATAATTCAAATGCTAGAGCTCTGTTTTAACCTCAAAGTAGATCAAACGACTTACATCTTAAATGTTTCTCTAGCAAATGACTACATGTAATTATACAGCTATCAAGAACAAAGAAAAGTGAATCTCCAATTACGTTTTTGTCTTACAACCACTAGAAAGGGAACATGAATAGATGAAAAACACTTTTTCTGGGTCAAACTCAAGTTCAACAAACACAGAATGCTCATAATTTCCTTTGATAAGTCTATGCCATATTAACTTTCAGCCAAGATGTTGGGTGTGTCCATCCTCAGTGTCACAATCCTAAGTCATTTATCATGATCTTCACTTTAACTGGGATCAACATGTACATGCCAGGAATTGACTGAATTGACACCTGTGTTACATTTCTGTAAAGTGATTCAAGAGCAAAGCATATATATGTATGTCTGTTCAAAGGGAATCCATAATTCCAGTTACCACTATTATTAGTGGGAAACCCTAACACTAGTCATAAAGAAACTATAAATTAACTATACATTGTGTACATTAAACTAATGCATACTATTTAGATTTTTAAAATAAATAACAATATGCAGAAATTTTAAAATTCTTTTTTGTTTTTTAAAAAAGCTAACTGTTGGGAACAGTGATTTTATGCTAGTGGCGGTGGAATATTTGGAAAGGGGTAAAGAGCAAGGTAGCACAACTTTTAGAATGTAATCCATATCACTGAATTATCTATGTAGAAAGTAACTGAATTGGTATGTTTCTTTGTGTATATTTTTACCACACACACACAGAGTGAATACTGAGTTCCCAGAACCCAGAAGTTCTTGTTACAGCATTATTCTTCTTAAAGTATCATTTTGTCACTCCTATAAGGAACTCACCAGGAACCTCCAGCTCATTTCTCAAAAATTCCACTTTGAAGTTGCTCATCCAAGGTGAGCACTCCCTCAGATTCCCGGGCGGCTTCGACACTTCACTCATTTTAAAGTATAGCATGGTGGTGATGTCATTGAAGTCACTGAGCCTCATAGTAGGTAGCTTAGAACCGCCTTTCCCAAAATGCTTATCAAATTCTTTTCCAAAGGCCTGAAATGAATAATACTTTCTTAAAGATTAATGTTTAAATTTGGAAAGGCTTTAGGTTTATAAATGTTTGTAATAAATAAGAGTACAATTATATAGGTTTCTTCTGTGTTTTAAAATTGATACTTTTGTTTTTCTTGACTATTTCATCACTCTAAAATCTTCAGAGCCAGGCTTTCAAAAGATGGCAGACTACCGACATACTCCTCAGAAGCTCCATAACACAGACCTAAGAAACCCAATGAAACAGTCACTCTGGAACCCTGAGCTTCAAAGGAAAGAATAATGAAGTACTTCAAATACTGATTAGAAGAAGAAACTGAATGAAAACAGCAAACATTGAGTCATACATAGTGGTGAATAGTCAACTGCATGGCACAGCACAGTTATTTTGAGTCACCGCAAGCAGTGTTTCACTTGGGGCAGGAACCAGATGATCAGCTCTACCAGCCGAGGATTTCACCAGTGTCCACACTAGTGGCTGGTGACCAGAAAGGTCTGATGATCTCTTGCCCCTTACTCCCCGTGCTCTCCCCCCATCACCAGAAGTGTGGTCACCCCTATGCCCAACCAACTAGTATCTGGAGACATCCCTCCATGCTGCCCCTGCCCTGCCTTAGATCTGAAGCACACCCTTAAAGATTGGATGCCATGTGCATGTCACCCCTATGTTGGAGGCACACTCTCTCTACCTCCTTTGCTGGCAGACTGCACTCCTGAGGACCAACTCCACCCCACCCCTCAGGCTCCTCAAAGAACAGAGCACACCATCCAGGACCTGGTGCCCTCCCTCCTGCCTCCTCCTCAGTCAGGGGAGCGAGGAGATGCAGAACAGATGCCATACACCCTTGCTGCAGTTTTTCCATTATTTTTCTATCTTTCCCTTCCTTTGGTTTTTCTCTTTCTTTTATCTCTTCCTTTGTTTTGTTTTCCTTTTTCTTCTTTCTTTTCTCTTCCTTACTTCCCATTTTCCTGTTTTTTTTTTCCTTCCCTGTTTTAAAAATTAATTACTTCAGTTTCTTTAGTTTTGTTCTACTAGCCAGACTCACTGGACCCTGCTGCCACCCCTCACAACGGGCAAGGGCCACCATCCACTCATGCGCCACTTAATCGGCAACAGATGGCAGCCAACATCAGCCCAGTCCACCCTCAACTGCTCTACATGAACATCAAATAGAGATCTATGTGTGTGCTCCCATAGTCTACTACACACACCAGGAGACTGTTGGTGAGTGTTTAAATGCTGCCAAATGAGCAGAGAGTAGCACACCCTTCCCACTGGCTCAGATATATTAAATCAAAACAGAGCAAAAAACCTGGGCATCACACACAGACATAAAACCATCAACTAAATACAGATGCAGCACTAGCACAATGACTCAGAGGCAATAGACAACCTCAGTTCATACAAAGAAACAAGACATACAAAGGCTCAAGAAAATGAGCAAGATACAAAGACAAAAATCCTTCAAGAGGAAAAACATTACTAGAATTCCTAAGAAGAAATTCAAAAGAATATTTAGCTCTTTCCAATGGTTTGAGCGGGAGGTCAAGAAAAGAAAAACATATATGTAATCAAGGAAAGCACAGTCAAAACTATAAAAATTTAGAAAAACAATACAAGAACTAATTTTAAAAAAATAAATGGAAAATTAGTAACCACACAAAATAGCAAATAGATATCCAGAAGAATAATGCTAAGAACTCAGAAACAGGTAATAATACACTGCAAGGACAAAGGTATATAATTTAATCAATGAAAATCAGAATTGGCAAAATTTAAGACAAATCTCTGTTTACTAATTAGAGAAACAATCAAGAAAATAAAAATGAACAAATTAAAAAGCCTAAGAATGATGTGAGACAACGTCAAGAGAAATAACTTATATGTGATTGGAATTCCAGAATGGAAAGAGAAAAAAACCCACAGAAAAACTATAGAAAATTTGTTGGAAGAAAACTTTCCTAATACGAAAGATGACAATGATATGCATTCAGGAAGCTCAGTGAACACTAACCAGTACAGACCCAAAATGAAAATCACCAAGAAACTTCAATCAAACATTTCAAATCCAAAATGCAGCTCAGAGAAAATCCAAGTTATCTATAAAGAAAAACTAGTAAAACCAACCGCTGATCCTGTGGCGGAAACCATGCATGCAAAAAGGCTATGAAATGACATATATACGTCTGAGAATGAAAAAACTGCTAACCAAGAATTATGTATTCAACAAAATTGTCCCTTGAAAATGATGGCAAAATTGGGACATTTCCAGATAAACAGGTTAAGGAAATTTGTAAAAATCCAGATGAATCTTACAAGAGATGGTAAAGGGAGCCTCTTGGATAATGAACCAACAACAGCAGATAATGGCCTGAGATTAACACACTTCACCCAGAGACTAATTTCGATATAGAAATACAGGAAACCAGAGACATTAATTTGTAAATGAGGACAACTCCAAAGCAAAAAGAGGGATTAAGTGGTGTAGTTACAGAACTTCTAAATGGGGAAGAAATCAAGATGATTTTAAGATATAATAGATTCTTTAAAATTTGGGAAGAAAATAACTTACAGTGTAACCTCAACTAAAATTAATAAACTCTCTTATCAAATTAAAAAAGAAAATTATAAAAATCTAGTAATAATAAATCAACAGCAATAAAGGAAATAAGGAAATCCATAAACAAAATTAAATCAAAACAGAAAAAATATGGAACAATGAAATCATTAGCTACACACACACACAAAGTTAAAATCACACAGCAAAACGACAGCAATAAATTCATACTTACTGACAATTACACTGAATGTAAATGGATAAAATGCATCAGTCAAGATACTAAAAGTAGCAGAGCTGAAAAGAAAATAGCACCCATCAATATGCTATCTACATGAGATACACCCTGGACAAATGACAAGAATAAGGCAAAAATCAAAGGATGAAAAAACATATGCCAAGCAAGTGGGAACCAAAAAAGAACAGGAGTGGAACTATTAATTTCTGATAAAATTGACTTTAAGGCAAAAACCAGCAGAAGGGACAAGAAAGAGCATTATGTATAATGATTATGGGTCAAATGAACAAGAGAACATAACCACAAATATCTATGCACCCAAGGAAAGACACCCAGTTACATAAATCAAACTGTAACAGAATTCAGAAGAGAAGTAGACAAATTCACAATAATAGTTGCTGTTGTTAAGTGCTGTCAAGTTGGTTCTCAGAGTGACCCTGTATAAGGTTTCCGAGAGCAGCTGATGGGTTTGAACTACTGACCTTTTAGTTCAAAGTCCAGTGTTGATCCTACAGTATCACACCAATAAAACTCAACAAAGGCAGAAAAAGCTAAACAACACAACCAACTTGATTATATATATATGGTCCTGGTGTGGCACTGTGGTTAATGCGATGGACTGCAAAGTTGGTTTGAACCACAAGGTCAGCAGCTGAAGCTTACCAGCTGCTTCTTGGAAACCCTATACAGGGCCACTATAGATCGGAACCGATTCAACAGCACTTAAACAACAAAACGCTCTATGTGTATATATCTATATATCTATATATAGATAAATTCATATAGATATATAGATATATATATCTATATATTGTTAAGTGTCGTCAAGTCAGTTCCGACCCATAGCGACCCTGTATAGGGTTTCCGAGGAGCAGCTGGTGAGCTTGAACTGCGGACCAGACTAGACTATATGTTAAAGCAAGCCTCAATAACTTAATAAACATCAAAGTGCTACAAAGCATCTTTTCCGATCCTAACACTATAAGTATTAGAAGTTAACAAGAAGAACAAGGAAAAGGAAAAAAGAAAAGCCTGGAAATGGATTAAAACCTGCTTAAAAACTACTAGATACTCCCTTCAAGACTGAAACTCAAAGGGAACACATGAGCAGGCATGTAAGCTTAATGGCGACCATGTTGGTCTACTAATGTGTGGAACAGGGGGAAAGGCAGCAATGAAGACACACGCTGAGTTTGGCCATGTTCCATAGACTTCCATCGACCTGGATATGAGTGAGAGAAGAAGGGCTGTTTGGTCCAAAGTATGGTGAGACCTGGGGACTCCTGAACCCATGGACAAGGACATGGCCACGGCAGGCTAGAGCTGACAGTGACATGTCCGGCTGATATGAAGTGAGGGGAGATGCACAAGAATGCCCAAACTTGTAAACAGTACCCATTCAACCCAGCTTCGATGGCTTGGTGATCAGAATTCGACTAGAAGAAGTTAAAAAAAA